CTGCAGATGCCGAAAAGGCAACAAAGAACAAACTTATCGGGTAGAACAATAGCTCCTGAATGCAATCAAGACCTCACTGTTCTACCACAACAAACCGATGACTGGTAATATTGTCACGTTGCTGATACGAGCTTGTACTGGGACTAAATGATCATGGCTTGCCAGATGTTGGAATATCAATCTAGGGATCTGCCAGAGTAGGGCAACTTCCATTCAACTCTCAATGGAAACATATCGCATTCAGCGAAACCTACAAGATTCCGTAGGATCAATATCCATTATGCCCCGATGGAAACTTGGTAACTCCATGTCCTGGCAATTTGATGTGTACCCAATGTCATGCTCTTTGGATACCGGCAGTTGCCCGCTGACCTGCTTTTGGCTGGTACTAATTTGGATTGTTTTTTTAACGGGAAACCTAAAGGGACAACAAGACAACCCATCAGAGAGGGGGCCAAAGCTCAAATGGATCGGGATTTGGTCCAGAGGCCCAGAAATTCCACCATCACTTCGTTTAAGCGCAAAAGGTCCTCAAATGCACTAAGTTCAGTTCGGAAAATGGGCGATGCTGGCCAGGGATATTTGAGCGACAGATGTGTGCACATATGCATACATGGGCCCGGATCACCACATCTGTATAAAAATATATACATATATACACAATAGTATGTCTCAAAAAGGGGGGGGGAACGTGGGTTTCAAACGGGGGTGCAAACAGACACCCCCACCCGGAGCTCCTAATGGCTTCTGAGCCCTGGGTTGTTTTCGAGGGCCTGGAGGGCCTGGGCAGGGTCTGAGGGGTCGCGAGCCTTGCGGCATGTGGCTTGTAGGCCTTGGCATATGGCTCAACGGGAGCCAAAACATTCTTCCTTCAGATTTCCCATTAACCAAGCCCCTGTAAGGGTACCCTCACAAAAAGCCATATATGGGCAGATGCGGCATATGGTTGTGTGCTCTCTATTCGGGGACGTTGGGGCTGTCGAGGGAACGAAAGGGAAACTATCCTGAAGACCGATCGGGGGCTGAGCATTCCCGCCTGCGGAACCGAGGGCCATATCCCAAGCCGCCCAGCCGGAAGAAGAGATACAGCCTGGACGTGTGGCATGAGTTTACAAAGTCACCTTTCGCGTGGCAGTCTTCGCCCAGTTTCTAACTTTGATCAGCGGTCGAAATCATGACCCTAGTGAGTGCCCGTTTTTTTCGGGATTTCGGGGGGCCAAAAGCTGATTTAACATCCGCTCCACCCGGGCTGCAACTGGGGCACTGGTAGAGCACAAAATGGATCAGAGTGTGGTCCCATCTAGGTTTGACATTGCCTGAGTCCCCCTATCAAATAGCCGCCACTCGCGAATCTGGAGGTGAGAGGAGTGAAGCGTGATGTGTTTCTTGTCCACTACCTTCGGCTATGTTCCTGCTTGTTTGCGGTCTCCCCCTTCTGTTGGGACCATGTGTAAACACAGCTATAAGCCAAGCTCCGTCTCACGTGTTGCTTGGTTTTCTTTTGGCTTCGCGCTTCCTTGTGAACCTGTCACAAAATTGGCACAAACTCAGGTCTCTCTGTAGGAGGAGGCCCCGCAGGTGCACTAGTTTACGCAACCACAAAACAATGGTATATACCTCAAAGAGAGCCGCAAGCGGACTGGCCGAGGCGGGCAACGCGAAGCGTTTACAATTAACTTTGACCGTGGGTCATATGCCAGCGTTGCACTTGTTGCTTGCCCAGACTTGAACCCAGGCTTCCTCTGTGGTAAAATCAAGTGGGTGTACATGTAGGGACATTCAAGACCTAAACCCGATGTGGTGCATGTCCGTCACCTGTCTGTGGCAGGTTTCTTCACTTTCGTCCATGACCACCAAAAACTTAAGCCACCATCTTCACCAACCAATGACATCAGGAAATGCTGCGAAAGAGGTGTGCTCTTCTGAGTTGAGTAACTGGATTTGGTTGTGTATCAAAAAGCAGGGTTCCTCATAAAAATAATATCCCTTGAGAATGAACTCTCACTGGAAACTCCATTAACCTTGGCCCGAAAGCTGATGTTCAGACCACCATGATGCATCATGGCCACCCAACAAACAAGAATCCTGAACATCGCAAGAGGACCCTTTGTCGGACGGCTTTGCATCGCCATGCAAGGGATCCGCAAGTTTTACTACAATGATATTCATCATACGGCACGAGCTCGTTCACTGATCTGGGCAAATTAATGCAAAGTCGGATTCAACATGTTAAGACAAAAGAAAACCAATAATCCTGCAAAAAGGGTGACCTGAGTCACCAGATGTTTGCCTGATATTTGGGAGTTTCTCAAAATGGCTCCTTGACAATGGGATCTCTCCAGGACTTCGCTTTCGGTTCTGAGCCAATGTTTTCTGCAGGTGCAGGTGGAGCCCTGCTATGGCAGCGTCGAGAACAGCCGACACCCCCGCTGCATTATTTGGGACATGAAGTCCCTGAGTAAGGAACTCTCATCAGAGAGTAAAATCGCGTGTCCCACCCAAACAAACGGTGGAATCGCTCATAGCGCGGAAACTTCTTTCCCCTTTGAGTCGATGGGACTTACCTCCTTCAGGTCAACATTACGTGTTCCCCCCATTGGGGACATTTATAGAGTCCCCTGGTTGTGGGGGATTTTTCAGAGCTCATCCCCCATGTCCCTCCCAAATGGATCAGGGACTTTTCAGATTTCGCCGAGCCGCGTGGCGTGGCTCAAGCCTTTGGCCAGAGCTTCTCCCCGCTTGCTCGAAGCGCTCACGTGCTGGCCCTGTTGCTTCCTGGCCGAAAGGCAACCCAAAAGCCTCGGTGTAAAAACAAAATGGGCAAGCCGGTAAACCCAGTAAGTCCATTTAGGAGGCTGTTCGCCCCATTTGCAAGAGGCACAGTGGCTGGTCTGGGAGTGATTTGGTGGAATCTCAAATATAGGGGCCAGCGGCAAAAAGAGCGTTGGGTCCAGTTTCAATAGCATTCCGCTTGGACCAATATCTCTTAAAGACACCATAGGTCCTCTGGTTTCTTGCTTCTCCGCGAATCCTACTGTGACTCAAATGTCACATGAGTTCTACCAACATGGATCTCAAGGGTCATGAAAGCATCACTATGATCTAGTGAATCTAGTGAAGCCGTACCAAAACTGACAGTGGTGTTGGGGGCTGCTCAAATGGGAAAGACGGGTTGAACCAAGCACTTGCAAACTTGAACCACTTTCTTTACACCGCCTTTAAGTTTCCTTTGACAGGGGCCCAGGCTCCGGCTGTTCAAACAAATTTGCCCAACCCGTGCAATTCAAGAGGACTTGCTAATTATGACCCCCTGCAAACCAGGTAGGAGTTGAACCTGCTGGATGCCGGGACATGTTTGGCGCTGTGGGACTAATTGGCCCAACTCCGGGGTACACAAAAACTGTTCGGTTCATATTTCGTCAACCCGAAAAGCAAAACCTACTCGGAGACAAAAACAGACAGAGAAGACTTCGGGGTCCGAGCGTATTCGACTTCGACGTTCCGTGGAATGCGCGGCCGAGGTTCAGGAAGGTCGCGAGCCCCTTGCGGTGCTCTTCTTCCAGGACCAGTGCGGACTGGCGCAGAATGGAGGGGCCATGGAAAATCCGCCAGACGGTCCCTTGGAAGCCCCACGGATGTTCTTGGAGATTGGAGACTAAAAGGGGGTGAAGTGGCTTGTACTTGATAAAGACTCCAGCATAAAGGTCCCTTTCTTGGGGATCCCTTGATTGAGGAATTAGGCAAAACACAAAAGCATGTAGCTTAATTGTCAAAATCAAGGGAAGAACCCTTCCCTCCTCCCCCTGACCTTATTAGCTACTCCCTGAGGATGGTTTTGGCGGGCTAAAAGAAGGTGAAGGGGGTGAGGTACCTCCCTTGAAGATACTTGGAAAGGTCTGTTGGGACAGAAAATGGCTCAGGCTCCTCCCATGCATCATTGCCTTGCGAAGGAAACGTGCCTGGGACACGGCCCTTTATTGAGGTTACCTCCACTCTTCCCCTACATTATTGAGTGGGGATGATTCAAAGGGGTCTGAAAAGGACGCCACTGGTGCCCTGTGATTTGTTGGATTACAACTAATTATAACCCTCTTAAAGGGGAATGAGTCTGGGCAATTGATCGTGTCGCACCCAGAGGAAATCAGGGACCCCTTTCATACGGTGGTGCCGTCACACCCCAGTGACGTTGCTATTGCCCAAACGCTTCGTTGGGTACAGTAACCTGCCCGGTTTTACATTAGGACCGTAACCCGCCCTAGCAAAGCGGGCGGCGATCGCGGCTGAGTGCTTCGGAAGGAACCCAGTGGCCCGAGGCATAGAGCTGGGAATGCATTATTGAGGATCCTCTTAAAGGGAGTCACAAGGGATAAGTTTTGTTTCTCGGTGTCATCCGCTCATTCCCTGAGAACCAGCAAATTGCCAAAGAGCTGGACACAGAACGAGCTGGCCTTTCGGGTTACCTTGCCTCACCCGGCTAGCATCTATCGTCTATCTCAGCTGCCCCACAAACAATCAGACTGCCTTGATTTCAAAGAAGACCAGCTGGGGATGCTTTGACTTACCCTGCCTTAACATAGAAGCCAACAGGTATCTCTTTGGAGAGGAAGTCCTCTTCCCATGTCGGGTCCTGGAAGAATTTATGGGATCACCAGAGGGTAAACTGGACAGGGGAAAGCCCAAATGCTACAAGGTCGATTCGCTTTGGGAAGGGGAGATGGTTCTTCCCGAGGTATCCCAATCCTGTGCTTGCAAACAGGGTGTGAAGCCCACACCATGAACAGAACAAATCATAGCAGAAACACGAAGGGCGGGAAAGGTTTCACGGGGTTTCTCTTTGAACATACCTGCAAACAAATCACGTTTAACTCATCAACAGTTTATATGCTGTCTTAAAGGGACATCAAGCAAGATGGAACCCTGGTGTGTGTTGATGCGTCAAACCCCTATGAAACTGTCCAAGTTGATTAGGATCTGTGTTTGATGCCCCAGCTGTGGATTACCCCCTGGAATGTGCTCAAAGACAAACAAAGAGTGCGAGAATTTGTGAAATCTCAAGTCACGAACCCAATTGCCCCCGCTATTGTACACCGAACTCAACCCTACACATTGCACAAAATATAAACCGAGTTGGTTGACGGCAATGCAACCCGCTGCACGCCTTGACGTCCTCCTCGGTGTAGCCGGAAAGATCCTTCGGGCAGCTGAAATTCTTCTGAGGGTACCCTTTTAGTCCTGGGTTTCAAGGGAATCAGACGAAAGCCAACTATTTTCGGGGGTTCCCCTATTTCGATACATATCCAAACTGGGCAAATCCAGCAATCCGGGTTTGAAGAAAACCGTTCAGTCCTTGCAAACCTTGGGGGCAATCCAAAAAATGGAACCCTCAGCTGGTGTCCCTTTGGCTTTCCTGTAGCCCCAACAAAAAGCTACCCCAGCTTTTGCCCCCCAGCCTAAAATCATATGTTATAATATATGGCCTATATTCAGAGAATCGCGAGCACAATGTAGAATATGCTTAAACAAGACCCTGAATCACAGAAAAGCGGTAGCCTCAGAAAAAGACAAACCCATGCTGGACGTGAGTACCTAGGTGTTTTGGACAAATCGATGGCTCTGGCAAACGGAATGAATCAAAAATCCGCGCCTGTGTTCAACCACCAAAGGACACCTATGACTGGTGGAACGGTTGCTACGTGGCTATGAATTCCAATAGGGAACCTCACAAGAGGTCCCTTATTAACATTGCCCACGTAGGGAGACCCCAAGGCGACTCCACTTTTCGGAGGTCCTTCTATTTGCATACAAGGGGAAGGGTACGCGTCTTGTATCCACAACGATCAGATTGGTCAAGTCTGAACTTAACTGGCCTCAGGCCCAGCCCAGCCAGCAACTCGCCACCCAGCCTCAGGCCCAAGTGTGTATGAAACAGGCCTTGCCCATCCAGCAACCCGCCCAAGCACAGCTCAGTCCGGCTGCCCGGCAGCCAGCAACCCACCCATGGCTTCGCAGCCTCGTGGCTGAGACTAGCTTCAGGCCCAGCCCAACCAGCAACCCACCTCAGCCCAGCCTGCCCAGCCCAGGCCCCGGCGCATCTCAGGGCATGCCAGCCACTAGCTCCCAGCCCACCAGCAGGCTCAGCCCAGCGTGCCAAGGTCAGGTTTGTCTAACGTGTCTGAGACTGGCCTCAGGCCAACGACCAGTCTCACGTGCCTGAGACTGGTCTCAAGCTACGCCAGCTACTAAGCCTGTCTGACGTGCCCCAGCCCCCCAGTCGTTCCTGACCCTTCCCTCAAACTAGGCTGGGCCGAGGCGGGCAACGCGAAGCGTTTACAATTCGAAGCTAGGCAAACTTAGTGCAAGTGTGCGCTGTCAAACGCAAGTACAAGGGTCCTAGAAGTGCACCAGCACTCTCGACCCTTTCTCCCTTAACTGCCTTCGTTTCGTGGCTTCAACGTTTGTTTCGTGACTTCAGCCTTTGTTTCTTGCATGCGGTTGCCAGGCTCGCTGGAAGCGTCGCTCTTCCTCTCGGTTGGTGCCCTCACCTGTTTTGTCCTGTGCCACTAAGTGTCTGGCCACATGATTGGCTTTGCCATGACCAAAAAAAAGACAAGCAAATGTTGCGCGCTCATCACAAAGTGCGGCAGCTGAACACCATGAAATAGGGATACCCACAAATGACATCTGCATCACTCCGAATTCCCGCTGATAATTCAGAAAGCCGCCTTTGCAACCTCCAGCAAGAGGATAGAGCGACAGCACACGTTCCCACAGCCATCCTCGGAATTGATGTTACGCCTGTCACTGCAAGTCACGACAAAAGGTTCAAACAATGCTGGCACACTAAATGGTGGAATGGGCGTTGAAGTGTCAATTTAGAGAATCCATGGGAACAGCGGCTTGCCAAGCGGGTTGGCCGGCCTATCAAGCTGGCCATCAGTCCTCCCAGTCCTCACATGACAGCGAGCATGGCTGCAATCCCTGCAATCCCCGGCACTGCCAAAGCCGCCAAGGAGATCTGCCCCCCGCTCTCGGTTGTGGTGGTCGCCAGGTCGTTGGTGCCGGTGCTGTAGCCGCCGGAGGTGCAGTTGTCCTTCATGACGGTCATGCCGCTAAGGCCGGCGGTTTGATTCAGTACCGGTGCACAGGCGCTGCTGCTGGTCACGCACTCCAGGGGCCCGATCATGGGACATACCGCTAGCATCACGGCGGTCATATTGGCCGCCGCCCCAGTCATGGACGAGAGCATGGTTGTCATCACCGAGGCCAGTCCAGAATAGAGGTTCTTGAAGGAAGGGCAGTCAGTACAAACGCAGTCCAAAAGTGGGATCATTGACTGGAGCTCGGCGGGTGGCGTGCACTGAGTGGACAGGCAAGTCATGGCGGGCTGGTGAGTGCACATCACATCGAACATGCCGCCGATCATGTCCATCGCGTTCTCCCCGGCACCGTCCATCTGCTGGCTGAAGTTCGCCAGTTCCATGGAAAAGGTGTCCAGACCAGGGCAGGAGCTCATGCAAGCGGCGTCGATTTGCAGCCGGCGAGCCACGGACAGCGGCTCCATGTCGCTTGCACCGCTTGCTGCCCAAGACATGAGGACAAGGAGTGTGGCCTTCATGACAACCAAACCGGGTGTTTCGCTCGAGATCGCTACACGCAGCTGCGCAAATCGGTCCACAGACCTTATCCCCAAAATCAAGGCCTACTTGATCCGAATGATAGGGAAGTCCTCACAACCACTAGCAAGACTTAGGCAGCTTGCCGGGCGTAAATCCTTGCCATGGAAACCCCTTGGGCATGCGTCCGAACCGAACCCCAGCCCCCCGCCAGCCCCCCACCCCCCCCACCGTCGGACGCCTCCAGGCGCGCCATGGTCTTGCGGAAGGCCTCGCCGTCGCGCCGCCTCGCCGCGTCGGTGAGTTGGCGCAGCTCCTCTGCCCGCAAAAGACCCGGAGGGGAAATCGAGGCAAATCTAAAGAAGATTTACCCACAGAGAGTTTTTGATAGAATCTGGGGAAAACACTTGCCAACCGGGGTTTTATGCGGGAATAAAGGGAAAGGTCCAGAAAAGATGCATGGAACTACCCATAAATCAGCGAAAAATGAACATTCCCCGGATTCTCGGAACCCTGTTCAAGCCCTAAACCGAAAATTGGCAGATCGACCCCATAGCTATGGCCGTTAGGGAACTAAGCCATAAACCGAGCAGTAGCTCCAGTCAGCTTCCATAGGTGGCTGGAAAGCTCAAAAACGATACCCATATAAGGAGGCCATCAGAAAGCTTTCAAAGCATTCTTTGACCATGAGCATCCCCCGCGTATCTATCAGGTAATCTATCCCTTTCCACTTCCTTCATATGTAAAGGAATCCCACATGCAACAGTTTCAACGCCCTCAACAAACAGACACCCTCAAGAAAGAGGAACACTTTTTTAAAGAGCATCCCCCTACACCCAAACCTATTACGTTTAAGGGCATCATGTTAACCTCCTGGCTAGTCAAGAAAGTGTTTCACCGTAACACCACGAAAACCTGGGTTTGCAAAAAATAAAACAACCAAAACCACCTAAAGGTAGTTCCGGTACTTGGCCGCATTGGTTTTCATTGTTCATTTCCAAGCTTAGATTGAGCAACCAACGGCTGCCCGTCCTCCAGCGCCATTTGGCGATTCGGCGCCTCCGGCGCGCGGCCCTGCGCCGCCGCCAGGCGCGACGCCGCGCGCCGCGCCGCCGGCAGCTCTGCGGAGGCACTTGGCGCGCGCTTGGCCAGCGCCAGCGCGGACTGGGCTGCGCGCTCCGCCGCCTGAAGGGATACTTGGAGTGCATGTTGCGGCCAACCGGCTCCAATACCCAACACACTTCCCAATTGAACCAGTCAGTAAATACGAGAAGCTATCTTCTGGGCATTTGAGACGCGACCTTCTTGATTTTCAAAATGTCTCTTGATCGCCCCCCGTCCGTTGCTTCACCCCTCCCCCTCTTCCCTCGCCGGATGCCAAAAGCCAAAAGGTGTGGATCTCTACGCAACTTCCCACCACTCGTGGCGGAGAAAGACGGCGAAGAAAAACATCAATTGAAGGCCAGGTCTTGAAAATAACATGTTATTTGTCCATTCATATGCTTGTTGTTGGATGCATTTGTTTAAATTACGTCGATAACTTGACTATGTCGTTGTTTTCAGCTTCTTGTGCTAAAATAGTGTTTCCTTGAATTGAGTATTGCTGTTGCGGGTACCACCTCCCTCGAGGCCACATCGCGAAAGTCGAGGTTGGTGGTGGCCATTTACGTCTCAGATCACCCGATCTCCGTCAGGTTAAATGAGAGAGCACCATGTTCCAATGACTGAAGCTAAGCCCTGTTAAACTAGCTGGTGCTGTTCCCTTTCGTTCAGGAAAAGAGGTGCTGAAACCCAAATTGAACGAGATTTTGCGCCATCTCTCTTTTCACCCAAGCGGAAATGCTAATTAGTGTGCGCTTCAGGTTTAGTCAAGGCTATGTGATTGCATCCCAACTCCACTCCAGTTCGCTACTTGAGGGAATGAATTGTGGGACCGCAAAGTGGTTGGCTTCCTTTCAGTTTGCCTTTGAAAGCGGCCAAAAGTCGGGTCCGGTCAAAAAAAAACATGTAATGTGTATATATATATATATTATATATAATACATATATATATATATATGGATTGTCTTGTTTCCCACCCACCGAGACCAACAAAAAACCAGCCACCTCGTGCGCCCCCATGAGCTCTTCCACCTGTGAGAGCAGCAGAAGGTGTTGCACCTGGGTGCAAAACACCGGGCTCCGAGAGTCACACATTACCCAAGGTCAATGTGGGGGGAATTAAGGGCATGAGTCAGAATCTGCACCTGATGTTGAAGCGCAACTAGAGTGCCTGTATCCGCCATTTTTCTGGCAACCGCCCCTAGTAACCTTCACTGACCTGGATTTTGATTGTGGCCAGGTGAACTTGGGGGGAGGGCTTCCACATTGGAAGGCTGGATGGCTGGAATGGAGCGAGTTGGATCGAGTCACTCAAAACCAATTGAAACCAAACGGGTCGAAGCACGGAATCAGCTGCAAAATTCCGAAACGCTCGTTTGCGCGAAACGGAACGAACCCAAACAAATCGCGAGCACCCTGAGGTTGGTTTAAAGGGAAGCCAAAAGGAAAACCACCACTTTGGGCCTCCAAATCTCTGTTTTACACACATACCCAACTGCAGCTTTGAGAGGTCTTTCACTTCAAAAGGGCTCTCACTGCCCCGAAACCACTATTCCCAGGAGAAAAACGCGGTTTGCACCCTTTATATGGCGAAATAGCAGCTGCATCTCCCATGCCGCACTTTGCAGCTCCCATGCCGTCGAATCCATCAGCGCCCAATTCAGCCATTGACTTTTGGCTCTACCGTAGCTACAAAGGCTATCCACAGAGTCAAATGTGGCCGGACGCCAAAGGCAGTCGTGTTGGGATCTGCTTCACGCAAGCCTTTGAGAGTTCGGACCAACCAACCCCCCAGCACGTGGCTTTAGCTCAAAGGCACTATTTTCATGAAGCCAGGGGTTTTGGACCATTGGATGCAGCCAAAGACCAGCTAAGACGGCCCTTCCGGGTTTGGATGCTCCGATCGGTGCCTCTGTCTCGCAGGCGTCCAGGCCCTTGAGCAGCGCCAGAGACTTCCGGAAGGCGCTGCGGGCCTCGCCGTAGATGCCCGCGGAGATGTAGAAGTCCCCCAGGATCCTCCCGAAAAACACGCAGAGGACATGCGCCGTGTGTTCCTTGTCACCGGGACGTACACCGTGTCTCTGAAAAACAAACAGGGTGAAAGTGGATGGCACCACTCCGTTTTCTGCTGGTAAGAAAAAAGGAGGATGATGATACCAAAATTGGGGGGGATCCTCGAGGGCCAAGATGTGACTTTCTCAATGATTCCCGGAATTCGGGGGGATGACCCAATGATTCAAAGGGCCGAGGGTGCTTGAGGTGCCACCAAACCGTGAGCAATGACCTGAAACCGCAGAAGAAAAATATCGCAAACAAAACGAAGCACCCTTTTTCAGCAAATGGACGAGCTTCAAAAGTTGAAGTTATCACGCCAATAACCTGCCGCGTTTGGAGGAAATCACAGGTCTGCCAATTGCAACCTGGAAGATAACCCCCAAACAGGCAGGTGATGAAGGCACCCAGTAAAGTTTGGTTTCAACTCTTGGCAGGGTTGCGGCAAATGGATCATTTTCGTGATTCCCCAACCAGGGTGGGACTTTGACAATCCCCATAAAGAACCGGTTGATGCCGCACCTTGAAACGGGCCTTTCTAGTCGTCACCCCCCCCTCCCTTTCGGAAGCAAAGCAGAAGTCCACCCCAAGCTGGAAGTCCAACATGGAACCCATCAACCGGGTCCCCCAAGACAAGATGCTCATAGATAATGGTCTTTGGGGGGTCCACATTACTCCCCTGCAGATGTCGCTCCATGTTAATTTGCAGGGGAAGAATCCTCAAGAGGGTACCCAGCCTAGTCTTCCCCACCCCTCAAACAATAAGACAAAACAACACAAAAACATCAAACCAACAACAGAAGCAAACCCACAGCTTGTCTTTAGTTCAACTCTTGCTTAGTGCAACCCGCCAGATTCGATGACCCCGTCTAATTCATCCCCGTCCTCAGAGCGGCCACCTGCCCAGCTGTGTCATTCTCGGCCTCGAAAAGCCTCAGCTCCTGGCATCGAGGCTTCCCCGTCCCTCTGGTCGTGGCTATGGATGTTCAGTGCAAACAAACTAACGGAACTAACGTCTGGGGTTATGGAAACACCAGTGGTCAATACATAGATTGTATGGGAATGCAATTCAATGGGGGACCCTTTGGTGGACATCATTTAGCTGGGGACTCGTGTCCACCAACCAACCACTTTCGAGATGGTTCCTTGTTACAACTCATAGCCATATAAAACCCAAAGATGACCGAGAGGTCTTCAAAGCTATGTTGGCAAGTGTGACTTGCGGTTGTTTTCGTGTGAGCAGCGCTCAATGCCCATTGACTCTAGCATTGTCTTCACGTGTTTGAGGGATTATGTAAGCTTTACTGTATCCCAATCAAAGCAAGTAGTAGAACCACCTGACATGGCCAATGGGGGGGGGGTGGCGCTCGTCTTTCGAACGCGAGCCCGGAAATTTGGGTTCTTCCTTTGGTTTCCCTTTTGAACAACGCAAGGGTACCAACTCAAGAACCTGCCACAAATCGGGAGAAGGATCAAGTCAAACCCTTTAGCGCAATAATCTTCATGCTTACCTGCAACCACGTTCAACCATTTTACCATCAAATTCCAATCGCCGAAACATCATTCCCTATAGCACCCTCCCGAACCGCTGGGCTCATGTGAAATGTATTCGCATAGTTAAATGGAACTGATCGAAAATGAGAAAAACCAAACCCTCAACCCAAAAGAACAAAGCAGTGAATGGGACCAAGCCCTGAACCCCAGTGTGTTGCTTTGTTCAACAAAAAGTGCCCCAATCATTTGTTTGAATCCAGAATCCTGACTCCCTTCATCCCATTCCAAAGGACGCCATGCACGCCCACTTTGGGCATTTCGCTCTGATCCTTTTGGCTTCCCTCAGCCATCCAGCAAAGCCAGAAGCTCATTCGAAGGCTCGATGCGTCGCTCCTCCCCTAATAGCCCGCAAAGGGAACCATCAAGGAAAATCAATGGATAACAACAGGTGATACCAAGCCAAAAGCGTTCCAATCAATCTCTGGGTTCCAAGCAAGTAAGACCAACAAAAGCAGGTGTCCTTGTGGAAAAAACAAATGGCCCTGCTAAAGGGATCCAAACCAGGGCAATATATATATATATGTCTAATATATATATATATAGATATTTCTAATATATATATATATTTCTAACCAACCTAACCATTTCAAACCACACCTATGCCAAAAGGGGTAATGCCCAAAAAAGGGATCCCCCAAATCCACGAGAACGCCACAGATGTTCGAAAAAGTATCCTCCTCCGTGGTGTCCAGCTGCGCCAAGGTCTCCTTCTGTGCGCTGGCCGCTAACTGCAGCGCCGCCAGGCGGCCCCTCCGGTGCCGCAGCGACCGGAAGAGGTCCTTGGGGCTTGGACGTATTTTGGGAAAAAGGGTATGCTTTCTATCCCAATAATACTTTTAAGAATATGTGTTTTTGAAGATATTTTATTTTGAACATCTAGAGTATGTTTTTTGGGGTTCTGGCTCACATTATTGTTTTTAAGCACCCAGTTTGGAGCCTCCTTCAATTGGGAATATCCTCTCATGGGGTTCCCTATGTAAAGTCGCATGGCCATTGGGCCATAGCAGCAGGTTTTGACACATTTCGCCAATGGTTGCCAACCATGTAGTCAACTCCCAAACCATCTAGGCATGACACACAAACAGAGAGAGAGAGAGAGAAAGAGAAGAGAGAGAGAGAGAGAGAGAGAGAGAGAGAGAGAGAGAGTTCCGGCGCGTGCGGTTCCACGCCGAGTTCGGCACGGAGCAAAAGGAAGGCTGTCATCGACTAAGTAGAAAAAATGGAGAAAGTAAAATAAATGTTCGCTGACAGCAGGTTGCTGTCGTCAACCCCCACTTTTACAATGCAAAGCTTACTTCCTTCCCTCACAGTCAACTTCCAGGGGTGACTTTGCCACCAAAATCCTGGAAGGCTTCTCGGGATCCGAGGATCCTTGCTTCAAGAAACCCAACAACTGGGAAACTACCCATAGAAGACCATCCACGAACATGGAACCCACCAAAAGGTCCTGTTTAGCGGCACACAGTTGGTTTGCGAACCATCCAACCTGTGTTTTGGGGGAGTGCCAGAAGGTCAAAGAAACCAAAACCACCAAGTTAAAGCTTCAAGGCAAAGCTATAGAGCAACCCAGCCTCTTTCCAACAATCTTGCAAGTGAGACTTCCATGCTCTTGGCCATTTCATGATTATTGGAAAGAGGACGCCCCTTTAAAATATCAATCCGAGTACGAATCCCAGGCCGAGTTAAGAGAAAGGGCAAGACTGGTGTTCTGTCATTTAAACTCGGTCGCAATGTGAACTTCGAAATCCGTTCCTCTGCTTACTCTCCTGAAGAAAAGAAGGACGCCATTGACGCCATTGGCCCATTTGCAGGAGTTGCTCGGCTTATCCTCAGGTTGCCCCACGCCTTGTTCAGGCCTCGCAAGTCGAGATGTTGCGTCTTGCACTCGGACCTTGCCTTAGACATACTCGGATAAACCGCTAAACAATCTATACCAATTGTTGCCAGGTGCCACCGATTTTGTCCATCCAAAGGTGTTTTGTCCCTTTGTCTTCGGCCTCCAAGCCGCTCCAAACCGAGCTCTCTGCCGAGGCGCCAGCGCGCGCCTGGCCGCGCCCAGGGCCTCCACCTGGCTGTCGGATCTGGCCTCCGCGATGCCCAGCAGCGCGCAGGCCTCGCCCTCCTGGTCCAGGCGAGGCGGGGCCGGGCGCCAGGCGGGGGGGTGCCCGTGTTTTCGCGAGGAAACCAACCATCAACCACAACCGTGCGGCGGTTGATATCAACCGCAATCGACCACAAATGGCAAACTAACCACAGGAAATATGATTGATAGATTGCGTCAAACTGTGGAGAGGGCGTGATGGGGTTGGCAGTTCCAGACCTCCCGTTGCATCCCGTGCAATCCACATGTCCCAAGGACAACGACGGAAAGCAGCTTCCGCGAGGAATCCATTGAAAAAACCATTCGTTCGTCCGCGGTAGTCTTCAAAGGTCCACCCTGAGACTGAGTCAGCTGCCCATTGACTCTGGTAAGGATTGCCAGTATTTGGAGCAATGGTTGGATGATTATGAAGTTGGACGTGGGTAGTTCACTTGCAATATATTTAGGGAATCTACCGTACAAATGGCATGTCATCCTGTTTGGGGTTGTTCAGTTCGAGGGGCTTCGAAGTTTTGCACACAACTCTTTTTACCAGGCCCAGACTCCTCTCGTTTGGGTGATTGTCCTTTGGTGCTCGGAACCCGTTCATTAGGCATCCCTCCTACTCCAAATACCCGTTTTGGGTTCACGTTTTGAAACACCCGGATTTCCAAGGGTTGTTTTAGTCAGGCATCAACATGAAACTCCAGCAAGAGTGGACAAATTGTTTGGAGTAAGCCGTATGGGCCCCCCGGCACCCCTCCTGGTTGCCCAACTTCCGGAAGAGCGTGGCCGCGCGGTTGCAGGACTCCAAAGATGACAACGGCGGCACACCTTTGGCCGCCGCAGCCAAGGCCTTGTTGGCTGCACTCCTGCGAAGGCAGTAGGGTCTAAAAGGGAGCCATTGCCCCCAAGACCGAACGCAGAAAAAAGGGGTATAGTGGATCTGTAGCAAATGAATGGGTCGGAGCCCTTTTCAGGTTGGTTGAAAGGGGAACCAAACGGAATACCCACCGTTATTTGGTGACATGATGATCCTGAATGGACCCGAAAAAAGTCTAAGCGGCTCCAGCTTATTGTTGAGTTCCCGGGGCCCTAGCGTTTCTGGTTGAATTCACGCTTCGGGCCGGAAACAGGATTTGCTCAAGGGCCTGGTGTGATTTTGGTTGGATTCTCGCTTCGGCCTCTGGCCGGAAACAAGGCTTCCGCGAGGGCCTGGCGTTTTTGGGATTCACTCTAGGGGCGGGAAACAGGGCTGGAGGGCGGCCCGGTGCTTTTGTTCTGGGCCGGAAACAAGGCGATCCACGCCTCTCACCTCCTTTCGCTCCCAAGATTCTCAGAGCCCGTTGGGCCGGGCCTTGAAAATTCCGGATGGATCAAACTCTGGCGATCAAATGCTGCTGGTGTCCCAATTCAGGGGAAAGCCTCGGGTCTGGCAAAAGCTTTCGCACCGGGGTCTCCCTTTGGGTTGCCCCCATATGAGGTTCGTCTTGATGGAATGATGTAAAGGGAAATTGGGTATGTCAGTGATAGGGGTACTTCGGACAAAGAAAATCAAAAGTGGTTGTCCTGCCGGCGTCCCTGTTAAACCAAGCTGGAAGGGGCCGATTCTCAGAAACACAAAGACGGACACAGCAGAGACAGAGACATAGACAGAGACAAAGACAATCACAGAGACAGAGACAAACACATAGACACAAACACAGAGGCACACACACACACACATGTACACACGTACTTGTCGAACGTCGGCTTAATTAATGGAAAAGCCACTTGTTTCCAAAAGGTCTCAAAACAAAAATGCGAAGGTACTGGTGATGGCTGCAAGGGAACGAACCGCATATTGGATCGAACCTCATGGGCTGGCGCTTGGCTCTTCCCAGCCTTCCGAAGAACATCTGCATCAGGCAGGCCACGTGCAGTGCCTCGCCCTCCGCGGACTCATCGGAGCTCTTGGCCAATGCCTCGCTCATTGTAGTGGAGACGAGCCGGAAGGAACCCCATGGGCTGGAAAATCGGCCTGAATGTGTCTGTGGCTCAAGAAAAGGTACCAACATAGAACCTTGGTAAATGGAACCAAAGACTAAAACCTGCGTAACCCTAGCTCTTTAATTTGAGCCACACCCATGTTGAATGGGGGAACCCTTTGGTGGACATGACATAGGTGGGGATTTATGTCTGCCAACCACTTGGGAGCCAAATAAACCCAGGTGATATCCCCAACACATAGCCCGCAGCCGTTCCGAACCACTCCGGAGCTTTTCTGGACAAAGACCGCAAGTTGATTGAGTTGCTGGGAACAAATCCTGCACCTGGGATAAATAAAGCCCCAGAAATACTGAGATCAACCACGAAAGGTGCAGGATTTGTCCATCCGCTCTGTTCACCAGACGAGCCTGGCTGAGAAACAATTTCTTTCTGTAATGCCAAAAGGGGGGCTCCCATCCCTGTCACTACCTTGTCATGTTAATGTTTTTTTTGGTAAGGGGGATCCCTCTTGGTAAGGGGGGTTTCTTCTTGGTAAGGGGGATCCCCTTGGCATCACAGGAAATGGCAAATTTAAACTCCAGTTGTCCAAAACCGAGACAAACCCAACCACTATTTATCATGTTCTTTGCTAAAATGCATGCTAGCTCCTTGGGTCCAAACAGTCTGGATATGTTCAACATCACCAAAGGAAACCTTAAAAAGGTGGTAACCAAACGTGATGTTGACAAGGACATATGGGGACATCTGTCCAAATGATGCGTTTTCAGAAAGACCGCATACCCTGGTGCCCTTGACATTTCCGTTCAAGAGGGGGTCACAGAAGGCTCAAAGGCAAACCATTCATGAACCTCAAATCCTTATGTGAGTTGCTCCTTTTTGCAAACCCCAAGGGCTCATGGCCGGCCCTACCAACCAGGAAAGAGGTTTGACCCTCGACTTCCCCTGCGAAAAGTTGCCATCTGGTCAAAAACACACACGAAAGAAACACCAAAAGTGCAGGGAGAAAACGTGAGTCACCCTGCAGATTGACATGGACCCCAAGACCCTTGATATGGCTTTTGGGGGGCCCCAAAAATTGGGGGGTCCATGTGAATTTGCGGTAAACCCTGGATGAGTGTATGTGTGTTTGTGTGTTTGAGGGTTTCTCTTCTTTGGGTCCAAAGGGAACTCGCTCACCCGAAACCTCACGGCTCAGCCGCTCAGCCGCTCAGCCAGTCGCCTCACAGGTGGCGGCCGCGGCCTCCGGGCAATGGCCGAGCACCAGCTCGGCGTTGGCGAGGGCCAACAGCAGCTGCTGCAAAGGCTTCCTGGAGCTCGGCCGCGGGACGGCCGCGGGACGTGCCATCGGTGGCGTACTCTTTTACACTTGCCACAGACCCAGTATGTTGATTTGGCAGATATGCCCTAGAGGGCCATGTGGGCTGGCATTCGTGTGTGTATTCCAATTTCTGCCTGCTCATTCTGGGCACTCTGAGTTTCGATGCAGACTGCATGCGACAGGTGGGGAATGAGACATGGCTCACTCCGATCTTTAACCCATCCAGCTGGTTTCCTTGAAGGGGACTGGGTTCATTCCCTGATTCCCTGAGCACCAACAAGTTGAAAGGACACTCACTGCGCGGAACCAAAACTGGACATGGCTGGATTTTGGGGGATTCCTCCAAGGTTGGACAATCCCGCCATTTTGTTTGTCCAAGGCACCCCCTACAACCACAACCTGTGCTTTCACCTGTTTTCCCTGTCTAACAAAGCAGTAACTTACCATGGAAAACCGTGATAGTCAAAATATACCGAACCTCATACGGGCCAGTCATGGTCATGGTTCCCTTCAAAGGAACCCGTATCATGGTTGCCTAAGTTCCATATTTTGGGGTCCATGAACATCCCTCAAGCCCATGTAAGCAGGTGTTGTGACCATGGCACTATGCAAACCCAAATCCTCCCCCTCCCCCAGAGCGCGCGGAATGAATCCTCTTGGTCAATGATCAGCCCCAATTGTAGGAATGACCTTTTGTCTGCCATCTGTTTAGTCAAGGGCAAGCGAGATGGTAAACGTTGACCTGGGAGCCTGTAGCCTGTAGACCCCTACCTTTGGGGGCTGATCTTCCCCGAGAAAGAGACTGCCAACTTTAAATTGTAACGGCGAGCACCATAATACTCAGGAGTGAAAAGCTCCATTTTACTGGAATCAATAGTTGAGGTGGACAGCGTTGGGCAGGTTGAGACAATTTGCGGCCATAAGAACTGAAAAATGGCTTTGCTTATTCTTACCCCGCGTAATTAGCTTAAGATTGGCCCAAAACGGTGGGGACGGTTTGGGTTCGCCCTGCAAACAGAATCGAAGGGCACTTTGAAAGGGACCTGAACAAAGGGAGTCATATAACAAAGTCTTGGAGGAGACCCCAATGGGGAGACCAAGGAAAAAGGCATCCTCCTCTCCGACGAACCTTTCCCGCCTGTTCTCCGCTTGGAAGGCCGAGCCAAGCTTTCGGCCAAGCTCCAGCCCTCGGATGGGAGTTGGCCAAGGCGGCCGCAGGTCTCAAGGGGCCATATGGCCTTGGGCCAAAATCCAAATCGCACCCCCAGTGAACATCCCAATCCCCACTAAAATAGATAACATGGGCGCACCTATCCCAAAATGGTACCATTGGTTTTGAACCATTTGTCAATGGGAAACTGAGGGAGTTTTCCATGTCCCCCCAAATGGACCATAGGCTGCTCATGATTTTGGCCGAACCTCAGGTGGGGATAGCTCGGAGCAAAGTCGTTGACTTTGAAGGGAGCCCAGCCACAATTGAGCAACCCCATGCAGGTCTGTGGGATATCGGCGACAAAGATACTTTCCCAATGGTGGTTTAAAGGGCTTTCCCACCGCCAAAAGGAATTGTGAGAACCTCTCAAAATGGAACCACTAGCCTCTCAGCTGGGGAGAAGGGATGAGCAGGTAAAGGGAGGATTCCAGCCCCTCCCCCTACGTTTTAAGTAGATTTAAGGGACCCCATGAAGGTCCTACCTCTTCCCGCCCTTCCCTTCGCCATGCTAATTGGCCAGCCTGAAGAAGGGCTTGTCTGCCCAAATTCCCTTTGACCAGCTTCACATAGCCTGTTTGGAGGGCCAGCCATTTCCCCCTGAAATATTCCCCCCCCCCAAGCAGCAGCATGTGTTGTTTTCCTAAATCCCTGTTTCCCTAGTTGATCTACCCTCCCTATAAAACTAGTTCTAGAGAAACCCGTACTTTGGGGGGTCCAAAACTGGTAGACCCCATTTTGGTATGAAAAGGGAAGCCAACCAACAATGAAACCACACAGAAAACCGCAGCCAGTTGGCTGTGGGTCAAAAATATGTACCCAAAATGGATTCCTGGTAAATGGATTCCTGGGAAATGGAAACATGGACTAAAACCTGCGGTCCCCCGGTGGTTTAATTTTGACCCATACCCAGTTGGGGGGCTCACCTTACAACCGAGCCGCCCTCCGCCGCCGCCCGCTTCGCGCTACTGGCGTCGCTCCGCGCCAGCGCGGCGCTGGAGGCGGCGCCAAGCAGCAGCAGCTCCGCCGGGCGGTGGCCTCGTGCCGTGTCGCGTCGACTCGTCCCAACGGAAACGCTGGAGGAGGTGCCCCTCGGTGGATGTGGACGGGCCCTGCCCGGAAACAAAAAGAAAGTCGGAAAAAGCTGTGACTTGCTGAGTCTCAGGGATCAATGCAGGTCCCTAAGGTTTGACCGACATCTGACTTAATCCAGGATTAGTAAACCCGTGTCCCGTTTTGGAGGAGAAAAGGCATTTTGCTGCTCAGTAAGGACCCAGCAGGGGCTTTGGGAATGAGCCGGAAGGGGATCCCCTAGAAGGACACCACAGGGGATGATACTTTTGTCGGGGGCAATCCCGCCCCTGAGCAGCGCTAAGCTTTTGGTTGGGGAGTCCTTCCAACACATATGGCGTGGTTGGTGTTTTTTTGGCTGGGGCCAACATCTCCAACAGCATGTTCAGGTTCTAATTGAGTTTTGGAGGTGGTGTTGAAGCAAATCCAAAGGTTTTAGGGGAACCTACCATGTTGAGGGTCTCCTACTCTAACACACCCCATCTAGTGGGCACCGCGGCCCAAAGGGCCCCCCACATATCTTTCTTAAACATCACACCAAGAGAAAACTCATCTGGTGGCAACCAAAATTTGATGTTCAAACCGGCTGAAAAGCAACATCTGTTGCTTAAATTTGAACCCCCAGAATCTGTCAAAATAATGACCCAGTTCAGCATGCGAGCCCCGAACAAACTGGCTTGGTTCAAGAAGACATCGGACATTTGGGCGGGCCCACTGCTTTTGTGGATTTGGGAACTTTGGTGCAAAACTAACAATGGCTAACAGTGGATGACCCCTGCTAAAAAACCGCGCCTTCAAAAACCGCGTCCCCTACCTCCACCTACTTTGCACTTTGCCCTTGCAGTTTGCACTCGGAATCTTCATGGCTTGTATCTCGCTGGAACTCGTTGCTTTGGCGCGAACCATCTCCTCGTCCACCGTACCCCCACTCTCCGCCTAGGTCCTCCAGTAGAGAGGTAAGAATAAGGGTACCCTTTTTCGGTAGTCTTTTTTAGTAGGGGAACCCTCCCCCAAAAAAGGGTAAATTTTAAAAGGGCACTACTGGGGGAACCCAGTCTCGTCCACCATACCCCCCAGCCCCCCGCCACTCCCCGCCTGCGCCGCGCGCCTTGCCAAGCTCCGCCTCCAGGAGCTGCTGCGCTTCCACCGGCGAACTCAGCAAGCACAGCGCCTGGAGACCTCGTCGACTCGGCGCGAAGGCGGCGGTGTTTCAACCACAAAAGTGGCATGGTGGCGGCGTATTTATCCCATTCATTGTGGTTGGGGGGGGATGAAAACCATCTTAGACTCAAGCCATCTCAAACTCAGCTTCCCTCTGCTTGTTTGGAGTCATGGTTTGGAGGTGTTCCCCTGTGGTTTCCCATCCCTCTACACAAATCCAAGCCGCCAATGGCCGGAAAAGTCTGAACTTTCTGACTTTCCCAGAGCCCGACGAACATTTGTTTCATCGGGACTCCCTCAAGAATGGCTGGCGGAAATAAGCACCCATTTTTCATGCACATAGATTATGACCAGTTTGGGAGACGAATACGGTTGCGGCAAACATCAACCTTTCTGTGATGCCGAAGTGAGATTCCATTTTGCCATTTTGAAGATTGGTTTCACAAATTGGCCCAAAAAGCCCGGGACATTAGTTTGTTTGCCACTGCAATGGCTTTTCCAAGAAGTATCAAGTGCAGCAGCTCGGGGAGTCAAGGAATGTTGGAAAAGGAGACACGTGGCTCAACAGGGGAGTACCAACCACCCCGAACACCCCAAACACCCTATGCAATGCAAAAAACAACACCCACCTGAAACCAGGTAGGACCCGAGGCACCGAAAATCTCCAACTCGCACAATGAGTGTCCTAAAACTTTTTCGGAATCCCAAAAATTGTTTTCTTTCACTGGTTCACCCAAAAATGGTACCCTCAAAAAAGACACGCCCAACCCGCGGAACGGGTTTCGAGCGCTTCAATCGCAGCGGCTCACGGCTTCAGCCAGCAGCAGATGGTCCCCGCTGCCACGGGCCGCATCCGCCACCTGCGCTCTGTCAGAAGGGCCTGCTCAACCTACACGACGCAAACCCGCCAAATCACGAGAAAACTTGGCCAGACTTGGACCCCCACAGACTGAACTGTTCTTAAAACGGAACATTATGCAAAAAGCAAAAGTGAAAACGGGCCAAACAATTCGCTAAGTCTGGCAACGCCCAACCTGCAGGTGTGTCTTGTGGCCACGACTTCAGAGTATCCTGTTGGGGTTGGGGGTTGTTTTGAAGGGAAGGCAAAATAACATCACCCAGTTTCGGGCTTCGTCTGCCAGGTTGGGCTACATCATGCCATCTGAGTCAAAATCAAAGCCTGGTGTTGGCTGCCCAATGTGAGACAAACCCAACGCGGGGTCACACTGCCCGTCACTGTGGCTATTCACCCGAAGGGATGTGGATACGGCACAAGCCCTCATTGAAGCCCAGAACGAGGCTCCTTTAACTTGGCCCACATCTGAGGCACACAGAAAATCATGTTCTCAGATTCGGAATCATATTTAGTCTGTACCAGAAGACATAACATAGTTTTGGAGTAGACCCCAGCTGAGACACCTTGCCACAAGCTTCAAAGGACAACTTGCTAATATTGGCAACCCAAGAGGTGATATGTAGGCCATGCAAGGGAAAAAGAGCGGCCAAATAGGGCACCTGGATACAGACTTGGGGGATCTGAAAACAAAACCTTTACCAGCTGATTTGGAGGATACCCTCATGCGGGTCTGTCTCCAAACTAGATACTCCCCTGCGGCCCGGTTTCCTTTCGGTTTCCCTTCAAACCCAACCCCAAAAGGTTTTGAGACCAAAACAGCTCGACGGGTGTTTGAGCGATCTAGGGTACAAGTCATCTGGGCAAGTCAAGCGCATGACCAACCCAAGATCACAGAGTTGAGCTCGCCAGAACACCTTCACCCAACATACGCGCAACAAACAACCATGGAACCCTTTCTGAGCCTTTCCTGAAAAACTGCAAGCACAACAAAATGGGATCCCACCCCCAAAACGGGGCGCGTTGGTTGGGCCTGGATCCGTTTCACCCAAAACGGGGCCTCCTTGGCCTCCCGCAGCGCCGTTTCCGGGGCCGAGGCCCCCAGACTGCGCCTTCCGAGCGAGCGGGAGGCAGTGGCTTGGCTTTGGAGAACCCCTGGTTTTTGGTATAAAAAAACACGTGTTTTTTGGATAACCCCTGGTTGGACAACCCTTGGTTGGTTTTGGATTACCCCCCAACCTGCAAACCACCAAACCGTTAACCGTCCATTGGGGAGAAGCTGAATCAATTTTCAATCAGCAATCCTGTTGAGCCAACAGCTTCAACCGTTTGCTAATCATTGTTTCACCCGTTGACAATCCTTGCGCTGCAAATCAAAAGGATCAAACCCAGCAAACAGGTCCGATCCCTGAATTTCAAGGCGATTCCGAAAGCAAATGCCAACCCCTACTTCAAATACCCATCTCTCTCAGAGAAAAACATAAAAGCAGCTGCCTCCTTGTTTCGCTGGTCAGTGTCAGGGGGTCGGCAACATGGTAAGTAACAATCTGTCAGCATACCCAACCAATATGTACAGGTAGCACATATTTGTAGATGCAGGAGACGGGTGGGCTGTACCCAGAAAAAGTTTCAAGGGTTGTGAGAATGAACCGTTGGGGCCCACAAGGGATGCTTCGGTCCCCTTCCCTCATTCTCCTCACTGCTTGGAAAAATGCGGCCAAAAGGGACAAATCCACAGCACCGATTGCTTCACACGCCACAAACCCTCCAGGACCGCAAGCCGTTCAAGCAAAGCTACGATTATCGCATGCTTCCAAGAGGAACCCATGATCACTAGGGGGACTATCGGTCCCATATTGCCGAGAAAGCGAGTGTGGATTTCCTTACAAGCCCAACTAATCAAAAGCAAAGGACACTTCCCTTTTTCGGCTTATCCTCAGGGAGGGAGGGAGGCAGGGAGGCAGGGAGGCAGGGAGAGGCAGGGAGGCAGGGAGGCAGGGAGGCAGGGAGGCAGGGAGGCAGGGAGGCAGGGAGGCAGGGAGGGAGAGAGGGTTACATGGTGGACTTTCATGGACCTCGGGCAAGAGTCCATCCCAGGATAAGCCCAGAAATGATTGATCAGCCTTCAATAACCGCCGTATTCAGTGGTTAAGCAAGCCATGGAAGTCGCCATGATCCTTTAAGCATTACCTCCCCCCTTTCTCCAACAAAGAAAAACAAACAAGCGCACGGTACATCTTTCGAAAGTCATGGAGAGCAGTTGTTGGCAGGAACCCTCCCCCCTCTCCACCCGCGCGTGCTCCGCCTCGCAGCCTCCAGTGACGTCATACGTAAGCCTCAACATGTCATTTGTGCAAGTTCAATACGGGTATGGCTCGTCAATATACGTCGGGATTGGGACGCCCAGAATGGGCGGTTGAAGCAACAACCCGCTAGAGCAAAGCACTTGTTCATGTTAAAAAGGGAACCTTTTGAAAGGGGAACCATTGCTCGCAAAAAGTTGTGCTCAGTGGGCAGTCATCAAAACACAACACAAAATGAGCCATTTGAACATTCATCCCCACACCGCAAAACAAACAAAGGGTGCCGGGGAACCATGGCCCGCCTGCTCAAGTTGCTGGATGGGGAATCGCAGTGCTTCCATTCCGGGATCGATCCAAAGCTGACTCCCTGATTTGACTGATGATCAGCGTGCAAGCTGTTTGGCCATTTACTAAATCAAGGGGGCACCTAACCCAAAAACTTTCAAGCCTTCAACTCAGGCAAGTCCAAGGGTTGGGTCGCAGAATCCGGGAACTCGGACCTTCCCTGTCCCTTGGGCCTTTTGCTGCATATATGGAGGTACTTTGTCCCTCACTCCGAACACCCCCCTCAAGGGGCAATTGCTTTGACAGACCGGAGACCTCCTTCGCAATGAGACTCGTGTCGCCCCGCCGCCCGGCCTTTGGCCCAAAGCGCCTCACTGGTCCGCTTCCGCTTGGAAACGCCGTGTGACAAAGTTAACGAAGCGTGGGAAATTTCCGAAACACAACCGATGTCCTACGAAAAAAGTCCTTCTTTTCACAACACAAACACTTGCAGCAAGAAGAACCAGTGCTTGTGGACAAGCTGTTTCCAAGAATTTGTTCTGAAGCACGTGTGGGTGGTCCAATGAACACAGCAATCGTATGTGCAACCTAAGGGTTTTTGGGGCTGCTCATGTGCAATTTGACAGGCTCCACACAGAATGGCGGAGTCTGAGCCAAAGTCGGCTTGCGCCGTCGCCCCGCCGGCGGCGGAAAGTTCTTGCGGAGAAACTGGCCCCATGATTTTACCAAATTGTCACCTCAATCGGTAGGTTCAAGGAAGCAACCCCGATTTCTGACTTTGATAAGCCAGAGAAAGCCCAAGAAGAAGCAAACATTGCTTTTGCCCCTATATCTCTGGCAAAATCTGCACGAATTGATCAAATCAACAGAATCAAGGAACCTTGCACTAGGGGACCCTCATTGGTGGAATTTCTTGCTTTCCGACGCTTGAGGCAAACGAGAACCAAGAACCATGTTTGAAGCTGAGAGCGTTTTTCAGGGTGACTAAACGATTTATTGGGGGGGCGGGAGGGGGCCACATTCGGTGCACGACTGTCCTCTGGCCTGTGGACTTTCCTGCCAGTCGGGGGGATCGGGTTTTGGCGTACTTCAAAACCAAGTCACGATAATAGGAGTAGACACTAAACTAGGAGTAACAACTTAGCCCCTTACATTAGTGGGACCCCAATACCAACCATGCCCAGGTGGTAACCCCATGGACTCTCTGCAGCCTCCTGGAACCCTCCAAAGCTGCTCCCCAAAGCTTTCAGCTCTTTGAGGACAAACGGGCGCAGAAGTGCAGGCTTGGCGCATTTTCCGCAGGACAAGCGGGATTGAAGCGAGATCCGGAGTTCTTTATCTGCAGTGGTCCAAATCAGGGAATCCCTGTCACTCGAAAGGACTTGGAAACAAAGTTGAGCCTTTGGGAAGACCAAAAGGACCATAGGGAACTGAGGTGAACATTTTGATTCGCTTTGGAGAAAGCTGTTGGACCCCCAACAGGCCCTCTCGGCCTCGCAGGGAGTCTCAAGATTTCAATATTCCCAGGAAAAAGGCCAGAAACCTTGCCATGCACTAGCCATGGACAACGCGGGAACTCGAAGTTCAGATGGACAAAGATTGACCTAGGATTGATAAACTCCTGGTTGACTGATACGGGGGTCTCATTCTACAGAATATCCGTCCCTTTTGAGGGAGTCCCCCCCCCAACATTCCACCAGGTTGATTGATAGGGGATCGATATGCATTGGGGAGACCGAGTCTCCGAATCCGGATCTCGTAGCCCAGCCCAACTACGTGGCCCGCCCATTTCAGGCGAAAGGGCGCGTCTCTGCAGGCGATGCCTTGCCTTTGGCAAGCCCGCCCCCCACCTTGGCGCATCTCCAAGGTACACCAAAAGCAATATGCGCAAATTATGTGTCATATTTAGTCTACCCAGAGATATGGAAAATATGTGGAGGACCCACACGGGCCTTTGCCGCACAAACGCGGAATTTCCGGGGGCCCATGCGAGTTTTCGGGCACCGAAAACTCTCACACGGAGCCCTCACGCTCTTGCTCAGCCCTGACATTCAAGCCGTGAGAATGCGGAGGTGGGACGATCAAACATGGATTTGACTTTCCAACAGCCCTCGGGGCAAATTTCCAGCAAAGGAGCAAGTAGTATACTTTAAGCCCAAAACAATCCTGAAGGGGATCGCCATAGGTTGGCAACCAGGAGCCATGGGCTATGAAGTGTATGACTTCTACAAAAAGTTGCTTTCTTGTCAAAAAAGGCTTCATCAACTTCCCACAAAAGGTCTGAACCGATCCCTAGTTGCCCTGGCAAACAATGCTTGCAAGGGCTCCCCGAAAGAGGTCGCCAATTTGATGCAAGGTCGATCCCCTTTCTTTCTGCACTTGGTTTGTTTGCAAAACAAACCCCAATTATGTGGAAACGTGGCAGTTTGCCTAAAGTGGCTTCCACCCCTGCACGCCCGGTCACGCTCACACGCATCACGTCGGAGCTGCACGCGCGGTAGCGCGTGATAAGCCCACCCGCTCACGCGCATCGCGTCAGAGCTGCAAGCACGCTTCCGCATGAAAAGCACAGCCCACTCACGCGCATCACGTCAGAGCTGCGCGCTCTGGCACATGACAGGCACACCCGCTCACGCGCATCACATCAGAGCTGCACGCGTGTTGGCGCATGATAAGCACACCCGCTCACTCGAGCCACGTCAGAGCTGCACGCACGCTGGCACATGATAAGCACACCCGCTCGCGCGCATGACGTCAGAGCTGCACGCCCGTGGCGTATGATAAGCACACTCTCTCACGCGCATGACGTCAGAGCTGCACGCACCTTGGCTCATGACAAACACACCCGCTCATGCGTATCACGCACGCTGGCACTTGATAAGCACGCCAGATGACGTGCATCACGTGCGCTGGCACATGATAAGCACACCCGCTAATTGCCTTGGTCCAAAACTGCACATGTCGACCTCAGATTCGGCTGGTTTGAGTAGTTACCGGGATGTCCCACAACCCCGGAAACATGCATAATGTCAAACTGCCTCAGAAGAGACGCACGAGCTCGGAGGACATGCACAAAAACGCGCGGGTGACTGTGTACCCGGCGCGAACTAAAGATGGGCATGTGCAATGGGCACCCCTGAAGCCGTAAAGGGCCCCAGCCCTGACTTGACCCTCGGCACCACCTCCAGTGACCGTGCATCTTTATGTTCTTGATTTCTGGGGCACGCCCGTCAAGGCAACTTATTGTAGACTATAATTATAAAACAGAAGTATGGCAAAACAAAACGAAGTCAAGGACTCCCAACCGCATCTCGAAGGCTTTTCTATCGCGAGCTCTCGAGCCTCGCGGTTCTGCTTCTTCTGAATCCGCTCCTTAATGTCGGACGGCGCTGAGCGGTTCCAACTTTTCTCAGGACATGATCTATTTTAGGGGTTCGCTTGGCTACTCTGATCCGAAGAAAACATTGCTTGCAGGGGGGGGGGGGCAAGGACCGAACTGTTTCGCGCCTTTCAAGGGTGCTCCAACAAAAGAACAAACTGCCATCTGTAGTTGATCGCACATTCGAAGGGAGCAATCTCTGGGAAAGTGAAGAGAAAGCGGATTCGAAAAACAGAGTTGGTTGTATGTTAAATATTTCAAATGGTTGTAGTTGTTAAGAAAGTAACCTCCGAAAACCAACAAAAACACACAAAACGAGGAAACAAGAGCAACCTGCAGGAATATATAACCAACAACCATTGGAGACACAAAAAAGGAGGACCACGGCATATCATTCTACTTCCCATATATGTGGTATATAAGCTCCATGCCTGCAAACCCTCCCCAAAAAGGAGGAAGAACAATGCAACCAAAAAAATGGCAGCACCATACCAACAACATCAAAAGGAGCACGCCACACAGCGAAACCTTTGCCATTGGACCGGGTCTCCCTCAACTCGTCCATGTCCAGCGCCTCCATGGACCTAAGCGAGGCGAGAGCATTGGAAATGAACCCACATGGCCATGGGTAAAAATCCGAATCGTACCCCCAGTGAACATCCCAATCCCCACTAAAATAGGTTCTAAAATGGGTGGTGCACCTACCCCAAAATGGTACCATTGGTTTTGACCCACAGCCACATGTTTTGGGCAAGAATCCCATGTTTGGCTTGGGGGCGTGGCCATGTTGAGGGGGCTTGAATGCCCTGCCGGAACCCTTAAGGCTTTGAGGGCTTGCTGGAGTCTACAAGACGCCCTGAAAAAGGGGTAGCAGTCGTGGAGTGTCCAGGTCGCCTTAAAGTGCAAACCTTTACATTGGTTGTCTAAAGCCCTCCGGTACTCCAACAAAATGTTCAGTTTCTGTTTCACATTCAGGCTGCTACCCTAAAACATAATTGCGCTTTACAGGCGAGCCTAAGACGGGCAAAAAATGGGACAGCGGAAAGGAAACCAGCCCCAGAAAGGGTAGCAACTAAACTGAAAAAGTTAAATGGGAAACCTTGGGTACGAATTTTCATAGGGGATTCTTTTGCTGGAGATCATTTGGGCGCTGCATGTCCATCAACTTTTGATGTTTCATTTGGGACCTCCGTGAAGCCTGGGGCCAGACGTCTCCTCTGCAAGCTCCAGCATTTGCTCGATGCCACACAGCATCTCCGCCTGGTGATGAGAGCAGGTCATAGGTTTCACAGCAGGGACCCGGACGGGACCCCGCACATCTTGTTGTTGTCCTCTTGGTGCCTCTTTCTAATCACCGGTAAATGTAGTACATGCACTGTGTGATGCATGACATGTATCTATGCAATGCAATGCAATGTAATGCAGTGCAATACAACGCAATGTGTGTATTATGGTAGGGTGCACAATATGTGTAGGTATGAGTTTGTGTAGGTATCGAGTAGCCATGTGTCGCGTGGGCAACATATATATATATATATATTAACTGTATTAATATATGCACGGCGGTATTGTTGCAGTTGTGTTCCGAGCCTTTGTCTGGGTATCTAGTGGTTATATGTCTTGTGGGTTCTGTATAGAGTGTTGCATAGTTTTTGTTTATATACGAAGTCATTTCTGACGATGTGTCTTTCGTGGGAAGCCCTCTTGTTGGATGGCTTCAGACGCAATGCAAAGAACAGCTACCGTTTTGAGGGTCCCCAAATTCTCTGGCACTTGGATACTGAGATAAACTTCTATAACATCTGGAAGATAGGTATGGATACTCCACGTGGAATGGGTTTGTTTACGATTACCCGCTTTGAAGGTGTGTCTTTTGGGTTTCAAAGCGCCGGGGGGTTCGTGGACCCGGCAACAAATCGCTCGCCTCCGTGACGTCGTCGCTCCCGTCGGCATCAATGAGGTCGAACATGTCCTCCACCTGCGGAAGGCGAACGCGAACACCTCTGGTAGGCCGGGGGGGAAAAAAGGGGGT